GCCTCTCCGGCCCGAGTCCTCTGTCGTCTCTGCCGGAGCCGGGAGCGGGCCGAGACCACGCGAGACTTCCACCCCCCTCCCAACCGGAATTTCATGAGCGGAAACCCCGCTGCGACACTTCCGGTGGGGAAGGGCGGCCCGCGGAGAGGGGGAAGCGGGCAGCCGCTTCCGGCTTTAGAGAGGAAAGGCAACGACGTACTTCCTGTTAGTGGTTGGGGAGGGGGTTGCTGAGAGTCGGGCCGCTGCAGGGAGAAAGGGGCGGGGTGAGGGGCAGGCCCCGCCCCCTCCCCCGGCTTCTGAGACGGCACAGCGCAGCCCATGCCCAGCCCGCCACGTCCCGCTGTCAGAAAAGGCTGGTACCATGTTCTCCGGCGGTCCCCAGCGAAGGGACAAAGCTCCCGCGGGGGGGGGTTGCCAGCGGCAGTAGGGTAGCAGCACCCACTGTCGCGTACGCCCTAAGGCCATTCCACCTAGCCCCAGGGGTTTGCGTACCTCCTCTTGAAAGCCTCTGACCTCGATCATCTGCAGTGGATTTGAACGGGATAGTTTGGTTAGGGATGATTACAAAGATTGAGCTAGAGTTAGGCTGTTCTCAGTGGGGGCAGATGGCAGGAACAAATAGTCTCAAGCTGCAGCGGTTCCCGAACTCTGACGGATTGCGCACCCACCAATTTAAAATGATGCAACCTTAATTACTACCACTTCAGCGTTAAGTATATGACAAAAATTTCCTGGTGGTAAATTATAATAAATCTGTTAATGTGTACCACTTACAGGTTGTCTGCATACCACTGGTGGTACATGTACCACCAACTGGGAACCGCTGGGTTAGATATATTAGGAAAAAACTTCTCACAAGGAGGGTAGTGAAGCACTGGAACAGGTTACCCAGAGAGGTTTTGGAATCTCCATCCTTGGAGGATTTTAAGACCCAGGTAGACAAAGCCTTGGCTGGGATGAGGTAGGGTTACTCCTGCTTTAAAGCAGGGGTTAGGTTTGATCTCCTGAGTTCCCTTCCCATTCTTATTTTCCCTGGTTCTATGACCTTGACTCAGGCACAAGGTTGGACTAGATAGCTTCTGGACATCCCTTCCAGTCCTACATCTCTAGGACTATGATTTGTGTGCTGAAGACAAGGCCCCAACTCCCTAACCTTTGTTGCCCCTGTTTTTTTGTTCTTTTTGTTTGTTTGGTTGGGTTTTTTTAAATCTTGAAGTATCTGATGCTTTCTTTCAATCTCCAACTCCCCCATTCTAATCAGTGCCTAAGCATCTGAACCTTTTTCATTTTTGAGTCAGAGTCACTCTTAAACCTTTTCCACACGCAAACAGGAAAAGCATAAGCATATACGAGCAAATGAGTAGAATTAGTTCTTTTCAAAACTCGTGTTTTTTAACCCAACCTCATGATGTTTCAGTACTTCATCTTGACCATACTGACTTCACTCCTGAAATATGCACTGAATACATTAATGGCACAACAAGGTTTAACTTGAAAGCAGTGAAGGGGGGTGGGGGCTGTAAAGCTGTGATCACATTGGGACTTGAGTTGCATGATTTTTTGGGGGGAGGGGGGCAATAAACAAATGTTTTGGTCAAGGAAATGGATCTATTACTTCCCTACTGTACTTACTGGCTGAAATATCTAAGGCTGCTAAAACTTCCCCCCTCCCCACACCACCTCTAATACCCAAATCTGTTAAATACAAAAAAACCCAGCAACATAAAGCTCCTAATGGACACTCATAGCAAGACGTACTAAGCTGCTGTTCCATACGTACAATATAACATGCAATTGAAAATGTTTAACATAAAAGGAGTCACGGGAAGCTTTTGTAAAATGTCCAGAAATAGAGACTGGAATACAAAAAAGTAATTTTTCCACAAGTTTTCTACCTACTTCTGAGACGAAGTATGTTTTGCTTGTTTATAGTGTCTTCCATTGTAGAAGAAACCAATGAGGGGGGAGAAAAAAAATCAGCAAATGTAGTGCTTTTACAGTGCAAGTCATTAGACCAAATAATATTTGAAATTAAAAAGTAATTAAAAGGAGCAGTTAAGAACAAAGTTCAAATTGATCATATATTATAAATTCCACAAGATATAAATTTATAGGGAAAAAAGTTTCAGAAGAGGTCATCTAATAATCCAACTCCAATTTTAGACAGCTGTGCTACACTTGACAGGTTTTCATAGAGGTAGAATATTGGTAAAGAATAAGAAATCATTATAGAACTTGGAGATGGACAACAGAAATAAAGCTTACAAAACTAATAGTCATCATATGGTAAAGATATTTCAGATGCAGGCCCCAAACGTATCCTGTAGGCCCCTAAAGGCCTCGAGATGTCAAGGAACAGCAACAGTTCGTTTCATAATAGGCATTACTTATCATTTGATATTTTCTCTATTATTACCAGTTACAGCAATTTAGATGGCACCGAGTTTGCAATTTTAGTCCAAGAAGTCAAGGTATAGTTTAAGAATACAGTCTACTAATGATGACTTTTCAGATTTCACAGAATTGGAGATCAAAGAAAGCTGTATTACTATTTATTTCCAAGCTCCACCCCAAAAAGTTTAAAATAGGAAAATCATTTTAGTGCACCATTCTGCAAGTTATTTCTTTTCAAAGAATGGGACAAAATTGAATGATTCATACTACACAGAGCAAATTTATTGAGATTAATTTTTTTCCTTTGGAGTATTAGTCTTCATGATTGCCCTTTATAATAAGGAAAGTTGCTAAAAACTTGGTAAACACACTTCTAGTCTAGTTTTTAAGTTTCTCAGCAACTAAAGTAATAATGAAATTAGAAGCATTTAAACTGACAGAAGAAAACACTTGTGTGTTTTCAAGTTTCACTAAGATAAGAGTTGCTTTACAGGATAACAAATGGCCATTTCAAAATATTAAAAGCTTGATTAAATAAAAGATTGCTATACAGTACCCTTATGAGGTGATTCCAAGGAATGAACATTATAACCAAATTTCAGTACAAACAAAAAATGAACTTTCCTTCCCTGACAAAAAAGAGATGGGGCATCTTTGGCTGGTGTTTCTTTACCAAACCTTTGCAGCAGCACTGTTTCATCAGAACCCTCTCTTCTCACTCCCTTTCCTATGAAAAGCTCTCTTCACCAAGGCAACGGACAGACATTCAAAAAGCCAGAGCCTGAATTCATTCAATCTTTGCAGGTTAGTCTAACCTTAGAGCTAACCAGTTTGCAACTGGACAGACATTCCCTCTGGACTGAGGAAATGCAGGCACATGCCTGCAGTTGCTCAGGCCAGGAGCCGTGGGGCACTAGAGCACGCCCTCAGCTACAGGGAAGCTGTGCTGGGGGGCATGGCCAGCCCTGGCAGTAGCCTGGAGTGAACTGACCAGGGAGGGAGTTTAATTCTCCCCTTCCCTGTCCCATGGACCTGAGTTGGGGTCTGCCAGGCGCTCCCCGCTCCTTGTTGCAGTGGCATGGCCCCCTGAGGGAGACAGAGGGGGCAGGGAGAGGGGTTATTCCCCCCTCCACCCCATCTGCCTTCAGGGGACCACGAGGGGGATCTGACAGCCACCACTGCCACCTGCTCCCTGCATGGGGTGAGTGGTGAGATAAGCCCCTTCCTGTCCCCTCTGCCAGATGCTGGAGGGAGTGGGGAATAACTCCCCTCCCTGCCCATCCACCCCCTGCCTAAGGGGCCGTGCTGGGCTCTGTTCATGCCCCTGCCCTGCTACTGGAGTGCTGAGCAGGGGGAAGAAATAGAGCATGACGGGGGTAGCAGCCCCTGTCCTGGTGTCTGAGAAGTGCAAGCTTCTTCCTGGCAGGGGGCCTGCGAGCAGGGGATCAGAGCTGCACTCCTTGGACACCAGGATAGGGGCTGCTGCCTGCATCAAGGGCCCTGCTGCCTTGCTGCTCCAGCAGCACCACGGGGGCACAAACAGAGCCCAGCCGACATGGCCCCTTAGGTAGGTAGGCAGGGAGGGAGTAATTCCCCCTCCCTCCAGAATCTGCCAGAGGGGGTTATCCCACCGCTTGCCCCACGCAGGGAGTGAGTGGTGGCAGCAGTCAGGGCGGGCAGATCCTGCTATAAGGACAGAGGGGACCAAGGGGGGAATAACCCCCCTCCCTGCCCCCCTGTAAGGGGGCCATGTCAGCTAGCCTCTAGC